AATTTTATGTTATTTGGAATCTTCCAGTCACTGGCATCAACTTTTTGTGCAGGTAAATTTGTTGTAATTTTATCTATTACAATACAGTTTATTGATCTGCTATACGAACTATTAATTGAATTTATCTTGATTTTAGTTGATTTAGATACTCCTAATGACTTGCCCTGTAGTACACTCAGAGTGTTTCGGGAATTAAATTGTGGGAGCTGCAGTCTTTCTGCTAAATCTTTTGTGACCAGGTTGGTCTGTGAGCCACTATCCAATAGTGCTCTTGCTTCACAAAGCTCCCCTCGAGTGTTTTCAATGTTGATGATTGCAGTGGCTAACAAAACGCTTATGGAATTGGACTCTTGTGAAAATAGTACCTTTTGCGTAGTTTCACTGCTTCTCACTTTTTCCTCTGAGGTGGAATCTTTATTATCATTATATACATGCATCATTGTGTGGTGTTTCTTCTGGCATATTTTGCAATTCTGACTGAATTTACATACATCTGGTGAATGAGCAGGTTCTAAACATTTCTCGCAATGGAGATTAAGTCTTAAAATTTCCTGTCTTTGTGTTATTGGTAGTTTCTTAAATTTAAAGCAATTATATACACGATGTCCTTTCAATTTACAATATATACATGGTTTGTGCTGATTATCTTGAGACACTATATTTACAGATTTTATTTTTGCTCCGGAATGTTCTATCTTACCAGTCTTGGTTGCAGTTTCCAACGCACACGACCTGGTTTCAAGAAATTTATAAAATTTGTTTAACGTTGGCAGCTCTCCTTCTTGTTGTGATAGACTCCAAGCTAAACGAGTATGGTGATCTAATTTATTTGTGAGCTGAAAAACTAAAATTATGTCCCAATAAACTGCATCTTCGTGAATTGTTACTAGTGACTGCGTCTGCTGCCTCGCTTGGTTCAAAAATGATTGTAGATTTTCATGTGAACCTCGTAGTATAGGTTTTATGTCATTTAGAGATTGTAGATGTGATGTAATTATTAAGTATTTATTGTTGTATCTATCTTGCAGTAAATTATATGCCGTGTTGTAATTTTCATTGGTCATAGAAAGATTTGTTATTAAGTCAGATGCTGGTGATTGTAGTGTCCCTTTTAAATAATGAAGTTTTTGAACGTCTGACAAATGCTCGTTGTTGTGTATAAGTGAATTGTAAATATCTATGAATGCATTCCATTCCGAATAATTTCCATTGAACTTTGGTAAATTTATGTCTGGAAGTTTGATGTTAATTTGCCTATGTTTTAAATCTATATTTGGTTTATTTTCGTTAATGTTAGTTTCTAAAATATCTTCAATTTGAGCTGACAATTCAAAATGTAAATCAAATAACTCCTCATATTCTTTTGAGTAAGTTCCTGGACATCTAACATCTAATTCAGTTTGATTTTCTTCTAAACTTTGAAGAATCTCAACTAGTTTCTTTTTTCGGAGGATTAAGCCATGTTTGCTATCTCCTTCTCGAAAGTTATTAATAAAATTCTGAATAAGCGCGATAGATTTTATCAATCGAGCCCTTTGTTGTTTGAGCGTCTCAATGTCCGCCATTTTAAATTTTACAAGAAACGCACGTGTAAAATATACGATAGTTTATATATAAATTTGCTACCGCAATTTGTTTAAATCCGTAGTTTTTGAATGTAATGGGAAAATTGTATTGATATATAATAGGAATATGTTCCTAATTCCTATCCCGATTTATTAAATAACCACAATGACAAAGTATACCGTACATAGACTAAACCTTACAAACAATTATACTAAGCAATTTTGAAATGGTTTTAGACTAATTGTGGACTTACTTGTATTTCCAATTGTGATCTTTAGTTGTAGTTGTTCCAATTCCAGTGAACTCCAGGCGACGCTTCCAAGCTTCAATGGCGGCTTCTCAGGTTCCCGGGTTTTCATTCACGTAGAGCTTTGTTTGGCTTTATGTTTTGACGAACTCGCGTATATTTAATTTTAAAGAGTGGACTGTAATTTTTAATCACTGGATCCGTGTCGATGGACCAAAATGTATAATATACTTAAATGAAAACGCCGATGTTGTCTTAGCCATGTATTTTAAACAACTATATTTTACAGAAATAAAAATAATAAAATCAAAAGCTCAAAATGGCGGGTCAAAAGCCCCCCTACCAGATTTTGGTTATTTCTAAAGCACACCGTTAGATGGCAACATAATTAATTATATTTTATCCAATTGTTAAGGAGCATATGAGGTTTAAATGAGAATTAAAATTTAAAAGCCATAACCTTTTTACACTGTAATTAGAGTTTATTTGAATACCCATAAATGGTCAGAAATTAAACATGTCAGATTTTCAAAATCTTTGCATTGTGTTTGTACTTCTATATGTTTGGTTGAATATAATTGTTCTGCACTCCTTAGGAGTATATGGATATAAATTATTATCGTTTTTTAAAGTAGGATTGATGAAGTATATTATTTACTATATTATTTTCTTCATAAATAAAATAGAATATCTCATATAAGATCTACACCTGCTCAAACGATTTTTGAAAAAATTTGATTCTGCTGTTAGTGTACAGGTGGCTTTAAGGATAAGGCCTTTAGTCAAATCCGAAATTTCTAAAAGATATGTTAAATGCCTCGAAACACTGCCGAATAAACCTCAAGTTTTAATAAAAAATCTTTCTTTTACTTACAACCATGCATTTCCACCAGAAGTTTCGCAAGCTGAATTTTATGACACTGCTGTTAAGGGTGTAGTTGATGGATTGTTTAAGGGCAATTTATTTCTACTAGAATTTAATTTTGACATAACATAACTTTGGTGTAGGTGAATTTATCTCTCATCTATAATCCCAAATTCTATTTTTATCTTCAGTATCTTTACTTTATTATTTATTATTTTGTTCAATCTAAAAATATATTTTAGGCTACAATGTGACAATATTAGCTTATGGTCAGACTGGCTCCGGAAAAACTCATTCCATGGGCATGGCTTATTCAGTTGGACCAGTCGAGGAGATGGGTGTTATACCAAGAGCAGTAAAAGACATTTTTCAAAAAATTTCAACTCTGACGGAGCAATATAATTTTCAATTACAAGTTAGATCAATATAAACTACTTTCCAAATATTAAAGCAATAAATTTAAAGTGTATTGTTAAGGAGCATATGAGGTTTAAATGAGAATTAAAATTTAAAAGCCATAACCTTTTTACACTGTAATTAGAGTTTATTTGAATACCCATAAATGGTCAGAAATTAAACATGTCAGATTTTCAAAATCTTTGCATTGTGTTTGTACTTCTATATGTTTGGTTGAATATAATTGTTCTGCACTCCTTAGGAGTATATGGATATAAATTATTATCGTTTTTTAAAGTAGGATTGATGAAGTTATATTTATTTACTATATTATTTTCTTCATAATAAAATAGAATATCTCATATAAGATCTACACCTGCTCAAACGATTTTTGAAAAAATTTGATTCTGCTGTTAGTGTACAGGTGCTTTAAGGATGAGGCCTTTAGTCAAATCCGAAATTCTAAAAGATATGTTAAATGCCTCGAAACACTGCCGAATAAACCTCAAGTTTTAATAAAAAATCTTTCTTTTACTAACAACCATGCATTTCCACCAGAAGTTTCGCAAGCTGAATTTTATGACACTGCTGTTAAGGGTTAGTTGATGGATTGTTTAAGGGCAATTTATTTCTACTAGAATTTAATTTTGACATAACATAACTTTGGTGTAGGTGAATTTATCTCTCATCTATAATCCCAAATTTATTTTTATCTCAGTATCTTTACTTTATTATTTATTATTTTGTTCAATCTAAAAATATATTTTAGGCTACAATGTGACAATATTAGCTTATGGTAGACTGGCTCCGGAAAACTCATTCCATGGGCATGGCTTATTCAGTTGGACCAGTCGAGGAGATGGGTGTTATACCAAGAGCAGTAAAAGACATTTTTCAAAAAATTTCAACTCTGACGGAGCAATATAATTTTCAATTACAAGTTAGATCAATATAAACTACTTTCCAAATATTAAAGCAATAAATTTAAAGTGTATTGTTGTATAATATACTTAAATGAAAACGCCGATGTTGTCTTAGCCATGTATTTTAAACAACTATATTTTTACAGAATAAAATAATAAAATCAAAAGCTCAAAATGGCGGTCAAAAGCCCCCCTACCAGATTTTGGTTATTTCTAAAGCACACCGTAGATGGCAACATAATTATTATATTTTATCCATATTCCCGCCCGATGCGTATGCATCCATCAGTACAACAATTTGTGAAGTTTATTAAAGAATACAACCCGAAGATATATTAAGATATAACCTATGAATTGCGAAAAGAAATGACATGACATATAACCTAGATATATAATAATATGTGACATGAGTTCTTAAACCTAATATGCATGAATAATAAAGATAATAATATAATATAACATGATAACAGTATAAGGTTCAAAATTTGTAAATGAATATGGTCTTATGGATAACTAAATCTAACATGATATACTAAAAGATTTCTAATGGAAATTTTAATCCTAAGGATAAGTATCATAAATTTTTTAATCCCTATTACTAAATATTTATATGAACATTATATAACAAACTTAAGATATTTCATACACAAATATTTTCAAGCTTCCTTCATAACTAATGGCGTTAGTTTTACAATTGGTCGCATATAAGAGCCCTTCATAGTCCTCACAGTTGCAACTCGAACTTTGCCATCTTTGCCTGGATGTACATGGGTTACTCGTCCTAATGGCCAGTTTATTGGTGGTACATGGTCTTCCTGAATTAGTACTACTGTGCCCACTTCTAGATTGCTGGTGCCCGAACTCCATTTTGTACGTCTTTGTAGTTCTGAGAGATAGGCCTTTGACCACAAAAGCCAAAACCGATCTCGCATTGCTGTAATTGCTTGTGTATGCTTAATCTATTGGTAATAACTTTGTCATTTATTGGTTCAGGGATGGCAGTCTATTCCGGATGTTGTTTCCTGAATCTCCTGCACTCTGTTGCTAACAAACATTTTAGCTTGCTGGGATCAGTTTTTAACCATCCCAAAACAATGGTCGAATCACTCCACATGAACGTTTTGTCAAAATGTATATTGATTACCTTACTTATGTGCTTATAAAGTCTAGCTAATAGTAATGCTGCGCATAGTTCTAGTCGTGGCAGAGTCACATTCTTGATTGGTGCTACTTTTGATTTGGCAGTTAATAGCCTTGATGATATAGAATTATTGTTATATATGCCCGAACATAGATGCATGCTCCATATGCTGCCATTGATGCATCAGCGAATCCATGGCACTCAATTTGTTTTATTGGTTCTTGGTTGAACATATACCGTTGAATCTTTATTTCTTTTAGAAGAGTGAACTGATTTTGAAGGGTTTTCCACTCTTCTTTAATTGTTGCTGGAACTTCTTCATCCCAATCAGTCTTCTGTTTCCATATCTTTTGCATTATCATCTTCGCCTTGACTACGACTGGGGCTATAAGTCCCATTGGGTCGAAGATTTGGGATATGGCTGATAAAATGGCTCTTTTTGTGAAAGTTCTTTGGAATGCTGATGGAATTGTTGCCTTAAAAATGTCTTCTGTCGGGTTCCATAATAACCCCAATGCTTTAATTATTCCAGTTTTATCAATGAAGCACGTATTTCTAATTCTTGATTTTCTTGTGCAATTGTGTTTAAAAATTCTTGATTATTGCTGGACCACTTGTGTAGAGAAAATCCTCCGCGGCCAAGCATTGTCACAAGTTGATCAGATTTAATATGAAGATCTGTTATGGAGTTTGCTCCTGTTATTATATCGTCTACATAGCAGTCTTGTTTAATAATATCTGCTGCTACAGGTGTACTGCTTTCTTCATCCTCTGCTAGTTTATTCAAAACACGAATTGCTAAATAGGGTGCGGAAGATGTGCCATAGGTTACTTGTTAATTTATAACAACGAATGTCTTCCTTTGGGTCACATCTCCACAAAATCCTTTGCACTTCTTGATCTTTTTTAGCAACTTTTATTTGCCTGTACATTTTTGTAATATCTGTTATAAAAACATACTTCCAGCATCGAAATCTAATTAGTATTGATATTAATTCTTGCTGTAGCTTAGGTCCTGTATGTAAGATGTCATTTAATGATATATTATTAGATGTTTTAGCCGAAGCATCAAATACTACCCGCAACTTGGTTGTACCATATTCTTTTATAACGGGGTGATGTGGAAGATAATAAACTGGATTTTCTTGAGTTGAATGTTGTATCACTGTGGTTTCTTGCGCATGGCCTAACCGAATATACTCTTCCATAAACTCTGCATATTTATTCAAAAGGTTTTTATCTGATTTAAAGCGTCTTTCCAGGTTTAACAGGCGTGACTTGGCTAGATGGAATGATTCTCCAAGTTCTGACTTTCTATTTTCAATAAATGGTAGACTCACCTCATATCTTCCATTTTCATGTCGGTGAACTGTCTTTAAAAAGTGGTCTTCACAGATTTTGTCCGAACCCTGCATTGGAGGACTGCTGTCTATTTCTTCGATTTGCCAAAACTTTGTTATTTCGCAATTTAATTGATCATTGGAAATGAATCCTACATAACTCGGTTGCATCGATGGCTCCTTATATGGTCCTGAAAGCATCCATCCAAGCTTGCTGTTTTTCAACATGGGAAGTTTATAGCCTAGTTTTATACTACCTTGCTGTATGATTTCAAAGAATAATTCTGCTCCTATTAGTACGTCAACTGGCCCAGGATTTGAAAATGAAGGATCTGCTAATTTTATGTTATTTGGAATCTTCCAGTCACTGGCATCAACTTTTTGTGCAGGTAAATTTGTTGTAATTTTATCTATTACAATACAGTTTATTGATCTGCTATACGAACTATTAATTGAATTTATCTTGATTTTAGTTGATTTAGATACTCCTAATGACTTGCCCTGTAGTACACTCAGAGTGTTTCGGGAATTAAATTGTGGGAGCTGCAGTCTTTCTGCTAAATCTTTTGTGACCAGGTTGGTCTGTGAGCCACTATCCAATAGTGCTCTTGCTTCACAAAGCTCCCCTCGAGTGTTTTCAATGTTGATGATTGCAGTGGCTAACAAAACGCTTATGGAATTGGACTCTTGTGAAAATAGTACCTTTTGCGTAGTTTCACTGCTTCTCACTTTTTCCTCTGAGGTGGAATCTTTATTATCATTATATACATGCATCATTGTGTGGTGTTTCTTCTGGCATATTTTGCAATTCTGACTGAATTTACATACATCTGGTGAATGAGCAGGTTCTAAACATTTCTCGCAATGGAGATTAAGTCTTAAAATTTCCTGTCTTTGTGTTATTGGTAGTTTCTTAAATTTAAAGCAATTATATACACGATGTCCTTTCAATTTACAATATATACATGGTTTGTGCTGATTATCTTGAGACACTATATTTACAGATTTTATTTTTGCTCCGGAATGTTCTATCTTACCAGTCTTGGTTGCAGTTTCCAACGCACACGACCTGGTTTCAAGAAATTTATAAAATTTGTTTAACGTTGGCAGCTCTCCTTCTTGTTGTGATAGACTCCAAGCTAAACGAGTATGGTGATCTAATTTATTTGTGAGCTGAAAAAACTAAAATTATGTCCCAATAAACTGCATCTTCGTGAATTGTTACTAGTGACTGCGTCTGCTGCCTCGCTTGGTTCAAAAATGATTGTAGATTTTCATGTGAACCTCGTAGTATAGGTTTTATGTCATTTAGAGATTGTAGATGTGATGTAATTATTAAGTATTTATTGTTGTATCTATCTTGCAGTAAATTATATGCCGTGTTGTAATTTTCATTGGTCATAGAAAGATTTGTTATTAAGTCAGATGCTGGTGATTGTAGTGTCCCTTTTAAATAATGAAGTTTTTGAACGTCTGACAAATGCTCGTTGTTGTGTATAAGTGAATTGTAAATATCTATGAATGCATTCCATTCCGAATAATTTCCATTGAACTTTGGTAAATTTATGTCTGGAAGTTTGATGTTAATTTGCCTATGTTTTAAATCTATATTTGGTTTATTTTCGTTAATGTTAGTTTCTAAAATATCTTCAATTTGAGCTGACAATTCAAAATGTAAATCAAATAACTCCTCATATTCTTTTGAGTAAGTTCCTGGACATCTAACATCTAATTCAGTTTGATTTTCTTCTAAACTTTGAAGAATCTCAACTAGTTTCTTTTTTCGGAGGATTAAGCCATGTTTGCTATCTCCTTCTCGAAAGTTATTAATAAAATTCTGAATAAGCGCGATAGATTTTATCAATCGAGCCCTTTGTTGTTTGAGCGTCTCAATGTCCGCCATTTTAAATTTTACAAGAAACGCACGTGTAAAATATACGATAGTTTATATATAAATTTGCTACCGCAATTTGTTTAAATCCGTAGTTTTTGAATGTAATGGGAAAATTGTATTGATATATAATAGGAATATGTTCCTAATTCCTATCCCGATTTATTAAATAACCACAATGACAAAGTATACCGTACATAGACTAAACCTTACAAACAATTATACTAAGCAATTTTGAAATGGTTTTAGACTAATTGTGGACTTACTTGTATTTCCAATTGTGATCTTTAGTTGTAGTTGTTCCAATTCCAGTGAACTCCAGGCGACGCTTCCAAGCTTCAATGGCGGCTTCTCAGGTTCCCGGGTTTTCATTCACGTAGAGCTTTGTTTGGCTTTATGTTTTGACGAACTCGCGTATATTTAATTTTAAAGAGTGGACTGTAATTTTTAATCACTGGATCCGTGTCGATGGACCAAAATGTATAATATACTTAAATGAAAACGCCGATGTTGTCTTAGCCATGTATTTTAAACAACTATATTTTACAGAAATAAAAATAATAAAATCAAAAGCTCAAAATGGCGGGTCAAAGAGCCCCCCTACCAGATTTTGGTTATTTCTAAAGCACACCGTTAGATGGCAACATAATTAATTATATTTTATCCAATTGTTAAGGAGCATATGAGGTTTAAATGAGAATTAAAATTAAAAGCCATAACCTTTTACACTGTAATTAGAGTTTATTTGAATACCCATAAATGGTCAGAAATTAAACATGTCAGATTTTCAAAATCTTTGCATTGTGTTTGTACTTCTATATGTTTGGTTGAATATAATTGTTCTGCACTCCTTAGGAGTATATGGATATAAATTATTATCGTTTTTTAAAGTAGGATTGATGAAGTATATTATTTACTATATTATTTTCTTCATAAATAAAATAGAATATCTCATATAAGATCTACACCTGCTCAAACGATTTTTTGAAAAAATTTGATTCTGCTGTTAGTGTACAGGTGGCTTTAAGGATAAGGCCTTTAGTCAAATCCGAAATTTCTAAAAGATATGTTAAATGCCTCGAAACACTGCCGAATAAACCTCAAGTTTTAATAAAAAATCTTTCTTTTACTTACAACCATGCATTTCCACCAGAAGTTTCGCAAGCTGAATTTTATGACACTGCTGTTAAGGGTTTAGTTGATGGATTGTTTAAGGGCAATTTATTTCTACTAGAATTTAATTTTGACATAACATAACTTTGGTGTAGGTGAATTTATCTCTCATCTATAATCCCAAATTCTATTTTTATCTTCAGTATCTTTACTTTATTATTTATTATTTTGTTCAATCTAAAAATATATTTTAGGCTACAATGTGACAATATTAGCTTATGGTCAGACTGGCTCCGGAAAAACTCATTCCATGGGCATGGCTTATTCAGTTGGACCAGTCGAGGAGATGGGTGTTATACCAAGAGCAGTAAAAGACATTTTTCAAAAAATTTCAACTCTGACGGAGCAATATAATTTTCAATTACAAGTTAGATCAATATAAACTACTTTCCAAATATTAAAGCAATAAATTTAAAGTGTATTGTTGTATAATATACTTAAATGAAAACGCCGATGTTGTCTTAGCCATGTATTTTAAACAACTATATTTTACAGAAATAAAAAATAATAAAATCAAAAGCTCAAAATGGCGGGTCAAAAAGCCCCCCTACCAGATTTTGGTTATTTCTAAAGCACACCGTTAGATGGCAACATAATTAATTATATTTTATCCATATTCCCGCCCGATGCGTATGCATCCATCATTACAACAATTTGTGAAGTTATTAAAGAATACAACCCGAAGATATATTAAGATATAACCTATGAATTGCGAAAAGAAATGACATGACATATAACCTAGATAATATAATAATATGTGACATGAGTTCTAAACCTAATATGCATGAATAATAAAGATAATATATAATATAACATGATAACAGTATAAGGTTCAAAATTGTAAATGAATATGGTCTTATGGATAACTAAATCTAACATGATATACTAAAAGATTTCTAAATGGAAATTTTAATCCTAAGGATAAGTATCATAAATTTTTAATCCCTATTACTAAATATATATGAACATTATATAACAAAACTTAAGATATTTCATATTTTCAATTACAAGTTAGATCAATATAAACTACTTTCCAAATATTAAAGCAATAAATTTAAAGTGTATTGTTGTATAATATACTTAAATGAAAACGCCGATGTTGTCTAGCCATGTATTTTAAACAACTATATTTTACAGAAATAAAATAATAAAATCAAAAGCTCACAAATGGCGGGTCAAAAGCCCCCCTACCAGATTTTGGTTATTTCTAAAGCACACCGTTAGATGGCAACATAATTAATTATATTTTATCCATATTCCCGCCGATGCGTATGCATCCATCATTACAACAATTTGTGAAGTTTATTAAAGAATACAACCCGAAGATATATTAAGATATAACCTATGAATTGCGAAAAGAAATGACATGACATATAACCTAGATAATATAATAATATGTGACATGAGTTCTTAACCTAATATGCATGAATAATAAAGATAATAATATAATATAACATGATAACAGTATAAGGTTCAAAATTGTAAATGAATATGGTCTTATGGATAACTAAATCTAACATGATATACTAAAAGATTTCTAAATGGAAATTTTAATCCTAAGGATAAGTATCATAAATTTTTTAATCCCTATTACTAAATATTTATATGAACATTATATAACAAAACTTAAGATATTTCATACACAATATATTTTCAAGCTTCCTTCATAACTAATGGCGTTAGTTTTACAATTGGTCGCATATAAGAGCCCTTCATAGTCCTCACAGTTGCAACTCGAACTTTGCCATCTTTGCCTGGATGTACATGGGTTACTCGTCCTAATGGCCAGTTTATTGGTGGTACATGGTCTTCCTGAATTAGTACTACTGTGCCCACTTCTAGATTGCTGGTGCCCGAACTCCATTTTGTACGTCTTTGTAGTTCTGAGAGATAGGCCTTTGACCACAAAAGCCAAAACCGATCTCGCATTGCTGTAATTTGCTTGTGTATGCTTAATCTATTGGTAATAACTTTGTCATTTATTGGTTCAGGGATGGCAGTCATAAGGTCTCCAATTAAAAAATGACTGGGACTTAAATATATAGTATCGGTATTTAATATTATATTAATAAAGTCAAATATTCTTCATAGGTCAAACATGTGGATCCTATAACTCTATGTAAGTAATGTTTCATAGATTTGATATTACTTTCCCAGAGGCCTCCAAAGTGTGGAGCATGGGAAGGTATAAATTTCCATGTGATACCCATATTTGCTACACATTCAATAATGTTTTTTCTGTTGATTTCTAGTTTAAAAATTTATACAGTTCATTTAATTGTCTACTAGCTCCAACAAAGTTTGTTCCATTGTCACTATGGATTGTAGAACATACACCTCTGCGTGAAACAAAACGCTTTAATGAAGCCAAAATGATTTTGTTGAGAGCTCTGTAACCAAATCTTGCCATCTTTGCCTGGATGTACATGGGTTACTCGTCCTAATGGCCAGTTTATTGGTGGTACATGGTCTTCCTGAATTAGTACTACTGTGCCCACTTCTAGATTGCTGGTGCCCGAACTCCATTTTGTACGTCTTTGTAGTTCTGAGAGATAGGCCTTGACCACAAAAAAGCCAAAACGATCTCGCATTGCTGTAATTTGCTTGTGTATGCTTAATCTATTGGTAATAACTTTGTCATTTATTGGTTCAGGGATGGCAGTCATAAGGTCTCCAATAAAAAATGACTGGGACTTAAATATATAGTATCGGTATATTATAATATTATATTAATAAAGTCAAATATTCTTCATAGGTCAAACATGTGGATCCTATAACTCTATGTAAGTAATGTTTCATAGATTTGATATTACTTTCCCAGAGGCCTCCAAAGTGTGGAGCATGGGAAGGTATAAATTTCCATGTGATACCCATATTTGCTACACATTCAATAATGTTTTTTCTGTTGATTTCTAGTTAAAAAATTTATACAGTTCATTAATTGTTACTAGCTCCAACAAAGTTTGTTCCATTGTCACTATGGATTGTAGAACATACACCTCTGCGTGAAACAAAACGCTTTAATGAAGCCAAAAATGATTTTGTTGAGAGCTCCTGTTATTATATCGTCTACATAGCAGTCTTGTTTAATAATATCTGCTGCTACAGGTGTACTGCTTTCTTCATCCTCTGCTAGTTTATTCAAAACACGAATTGCTAAATAGGGTGCGGAAGAGTGCCATAGGTTATGTTGTTAATTATAACAACGAATGTCTTCCTTTGGGTCACATCTCCACAAAATCCTTTGCACTTCTTGATCTTTTTTAGCAACTTTTATGCCTGTACATTTTGTAATATCTGTTATAAAAACTACTTCCAGCATCGAAATCTAATTAGTATGATATTAATTCTTGCTGTAGCTTAGGTCCTGTAGTAAGATGTCATTTAATGATATATTATTAGGATTTTCTTGAGTTGAATGTTGTATCACTGTGGTTTCTTGCGCATGGCCTAACCGAATATACTCTTCCATAAACTCTGCATATTTATTCAAAAGGTTTTTATCTGATTTAAAGCGTCTTTCCAGGTTTAACAGGCGTGACTTGGTTAGATGGAATGATTCTCCAAGTTCTGACTTTCTATTTTCAATAAATGGTAGACTCACCTCATATCTCCATTTTCATGTCGGTGAACTGTCTTTTAAAAAGTGGTTCACAGATTTTGTCCGAACCCTGCATTGGAGGACTGCTGTCTATTCTTCGATTTGCCAAAACTTTGTTATTTCGCAATTTAATTGATCATTGGAAATGAATCCTACATAACTCGGTTGCATCGATGGCTCCTTATATGGTCCTGAAAGCATCCATCCAAGCTTGCTGTTTTTCAACATGGGAAGTTTA